AGAGTTATCACTATACAAGTTTAAGAATTGTTCCATTTATTTATTGATTTTTTTGATTTTAACATATAAAATTATATAAAAACTTGAAGTGTTACGTTATAGCTTATTAGGTGATTGAAGATGGCATGAATACCCTTTATGGTAATTTTAACTGAAATTAAAGTTTATATAATTTATTTTGTTAAACAATTTACCAAATACTTTTAGCTTAATTCTAAAAGGTATTATTTTTCATAAGAGCTTCATAATAGTTTTTAAGTTAAAAAAAGCTAGGCCAAACAAGTTCTTAAGAAAATTTATATAATTTTTTTATTATTTTATTAAATTTAATTAAAATTTTTTTATTTTAAAACAAGTAAATTTTTATAATTATTGGTTGATTAATTATTGCAAGTGAAAATATCATTTGTCATTCTATGCTATATAGTACTGATATGACATGCCAACATGTTATAATAGATGATGATGTGACATACTAATGTAATGTGTCACATCATCATGTGGCATTTCCATCCTCTATGTTAACGTTACAAAATTATAATTTTGACTAATGACAATTAGTTAATTATTAATTATAAAAATCTATTTGGTCCAAAATAAAAGTACATAAATTTAATTGAACATAATAAAATAATAAAAACTTATTTAATTTTTTTAAAATAATTTTTTACATAAAGGGCAAGGTGATCTATATTTATTATACCTACCTCAATTCATCATCAATGCTGGCTATTGGCCTTAATTAACGTATGAACTGGCCCACCATATGGCTTTCTACATATGGACGTATCATACGTACCTTAGGAGCGATCACATTGACACTAAACTCTTAAGCATCAACATCATTTCATTCCATCGTTCATCGTAAACATATAATCGTAGCTCTTACCTCAAGACTTTACATTCATCATAATTTGTAAAACATAACATATCATGAAATTTCATTTTCATATCCTATGGCATGTCTCTACGTAGTCATAACATCATCATATTGTAAAGTGGTCCTTCCTAGACATAACATAGTCATGTGCGGTGGCCAACCGACAGACAACATATTATCATAGTCACCCTCTATTGCCTAAGCAAGCGACGGAGTACATAATCATCATTCAGAGCAATCTCAATGAATAGAATCATAGCTCTATAGATAGGAATCATAGGCGGGACGAAACCACCATCACTACTTACCATTATCCCTCTCAGTAACGTAACATCTTGCACAGTAGGCAAGAATCACAAGTGAGACGAAACCATCATCCTTGCTTACCACCATCCCTACCGATAGCATACATAGTCACAATGATATGGACACACTCAACCTCATACATACATCATCCAGAATCATCCACGGACATTACAATTTTCTTCATTCATAATTTGATGATTTATACACTACATATCATCATCATAATTTGATGCTCATCATAGTGAACATTCTCTATAAATAGCCTAGGTATAACCCTTTAAGGCTTCTCATGCAATTCTCATAACATTCACTAGTTTAGACATGATAGTTCTAGACACATACGTCATATACACATTAAGCATAGCATCACTTTTCTCATCATTTAGATTCATAATCATATATCTCTAGGCTCATCACATTATTTATTTCATACACATATTGCCAAACTCTGGCCTAGGCATAATCCTTCTACGAACATCATATTATTTCCATAGCATACATTAGTCTAGGATAAAAATCAATACATTTGGACAATGTATCGATAGAAATCGCATTCACTGTTATGTTCTTCAAATCTATCGATACATTAAGCAATGTATTGATACATATTTCCTAAAATACCTTTCTCATGCTTTTTTTACCTTTAATGTATCGATACATGGAGCCCATGTATCAATACTTCTTGTGTAGAATGCACTTTTTCAGCACTTATAGCATTCTTAGCTCAAATCTCTAACTCTCTTTTCTTTTCCTACTTATATTACGCGTTTGAATTCACCAAAATTCACCCGATATCAACACAAAAGCTCATTGCATAATTTAAATTCTCATTCTTGCCTTATATCACATAGCATATCAATCAAACATAACATGAGTTGCTTACATATCATATTCATCTAAGTGCCAAACAATGCACTATGTCATTCAGGTGCCAAACATATGCACAACATCATTTTGGGTCTTTACATATCCATACATTTCATAATAATTTTCTATGGACGTAGGCATTCTTATAAGCATAAACATAATAATTCATTTAAGCTCTTTCAATAGCTTAACTTACATTAACATACTCAACATCAAGATCGGAGGTGTTACAATTGATTAAGTAGTTTTCAAAAATTTCTCACAATCACACTCCTTTTGAGATGAGCCAAGCCTTGAATAAGCAAAAGAGTTTTCACAATTTTCAAAATTGAACTTATATTGAGATTAGTCGAACCTTGGTTAAATCAGGGGCTATTTATAATTTTTTTCAAAATCAAATTCATTTTGAGATGAGTTGAGCTTTGATTAAGTTAAGAAATTTTCAAAATTTTCAAATCAAACTCATTTTCAGATGGATCACACCTTGATTGAGTTGGGGTGCTTTTAGATTATTCAAAATTGAATCCATTTTCAAATGAATCAAGCCTTGATTAAATCAGAGTGTTTTAGATTTTTTTTTTGTATTGAATCCATTTTCAGATGGATCAAACCTTGATTAAGTTAGAGAATTTTTAGATTTTTGAAAATCAAATTTATTTTTAGATGGATTGGGCCTAAAATCTTTCAAAGTTGAATCCATTTTCAAATGGCTCAAGCCTTGACCAAAGTAGGGAGTTTTGAAATTTTTCTAAGTTAGACTCACAAAAATTGGTCAAGCTTCAATGAAGGATTTTGTTTTTCAATAAAAAAAAACCTTACACACAAAGCCTAAATTACCTTTTCGACTAAAATAATTGCCTATGTCTTGGCAAAATTCTTGATAGTTAAAAAGTACATAAAGAAGGCCAACTATAGACACCACACTTTGTTGGAGGTAATTTAAAATAATGATGAAAGAATTTATAGATAAAATTAAAATTAATTTAAATTTAATTTTGGATTTTAGATTACACATTTTTGGGCTTTTTAACAGATATGTTGATTGGGCACTATTTTTACATGAATTAATATTTTAATCCAATCAAAATTTGGATCATATGAGCTTTAATAGCCCAAAGTGAATTTCAGTTCATGGGATATAAAAAATATGGAAATATAAAAATTACTAAAAATAGAATTTTTAGAAGGAAAAAAGAGAGCATTGGACTACCGTAGCTTAGCATGGTAGTCAGATTTTCCCTCCTCTCTAAGTCTCTAGCTCTCACCCTTAAACTTAAAATTTTGCTAGTCCTTGAGCAAACCATAGAACAAAATGCAGTAACTTAAATGAAGAAAAACACTTAACGAGAAATTAATTTCACCATTTCGTTAATCACCTGTAATATCCTCAAAAGTTAATCCATATTCATAACTCTAAGCGACACACAAATATTATTCAAGTTCATATTTCAATTCAAATGCAAGTAAGTGAATTTCCATGTGCGTGTGCAATCTTTTCACCTAGAACATTGTATAATTTGGATAAGTTTATATTCATGCGTTTCATTTTTCAGAAGTTTGTTTTTCATTTTTCTCTCCACTAATGTAGACTGACACTAAATTAATGATCAATAGGACTTTAATTAGCTTGTAATATATGGCTAGGGTCAAGGTAGGATATGAAATAATATGTACTCAAATCACCCTAAGCACATAATCAAGTTAGGACCTATTTAGAGCTTTATTTTCTTCACCTAACATACCCCTTTTTCATCTAATTTTTCTTTTGATCAACACTTCATTCTATTTTTTTTTCTATTATGTTTTTTTTTCTCAATATTACACCTCCAAACTTATTTCTTTTATTGGGTAGTGAGATGAATACAGCCATACTTTTGAACTTTTCGTCATTTTTCATCTTTACTACCTCTTTCAATATTTAGTTCATAACATTCCCTAA